TTTCAGAGTTTTTGAAAGATTTTATTACTGCTACGTGCGTACAGGTCCGCCCACAGAGGGAAGGGCCGCCAGAACGGATTTTAAATTAATTCAAACAGTATCGAGTTACCAAAATACAGATTCTAATTCACTTCTGGAGTTACCTTTTCAGATTATATTGTATAAACCAGATCTGGGCAAAGTACGGCCCGGGTATGGAGGACCGTGGCTGTCAAAACAATAAATATATACAGAAATAAATAAATTTAAAAAAGATAAAATTAGCAAAGAAATGCATGCAATTATGAGAATAAGTGCATTTATTTCAGTATTTATTTATTTATATATTTATTTTCATGTTTATTTATTTTTATTTATTTATTTTTGTATTTATTCATACATTTATTTCTGAATTTATACATTTATTTCTCTATTTCTGTATTTATTTTTTTATTTATTTCTCTATTTATCTATTTCTCTATTTATTCATTTATTTCTCTATTTATTTATTTATTTCTCTATTTATTTATTTATTTTTGCATTTATTTATTTATTTATTTATTTTTTGCATTTATTTATTTCTGTATTTATTTATTTTTGCATTTATTTATTTATTTATCTATTTATTTTTGCATTTATTTATTTATTTTTGCATTTATTTATTTATTCCTCTATTTATTTATTTATTTTTGCATTTATTTATTTATTTCTCTATTTATTTATTTATTTTTGCATTTATTTATTTATTTCTCTATTTATTTATTTTTCTTTCTATTTATTTATTTATTTCTGTATTTCTCTTAATGATATGCAATTCAAGGGCGACAGTAGCTCAGTTGGTAGAGCATTGGCCTTTGGGCCTGAAGGTCGTGGGTTCGAAGACCTACTTCACGACTCCCACTGATGACTGCTGTTGTCGTGTCCTTGGGCAAGACACTTAACCCCACTTTGCCTGAAGCCCCCACTGAAAGATCTCAGCTCCTGTGGACTCACCACCTGCAGGAGGATCAGTGAGGGGCTGGTGCTCTGTGTACTGGGTGCAGCTCTGACTGCCACCCCCCGACCCAGAAATGGATTAAGGGGAAGAAAATGGATGGATGGATGGATATGCAATTCATGGGTCGTTTTCCACACTCAGAAACGTGTCTTTGTTGCAGCAGCGCAGTATTCTGCACAGACTTCTTCATAAAGCCTCTCACGAGCCGGACAAAAAAACACACACACACAATGCAATTGTTGCATATGGAAGAATGCTTGAGATTTGTATTTTTATTTTTTTGTTCTGACATGGCTATAGCGAGAACACAGTGATCTCAACATGACCGCCTATGCTGGGCAAGCTATGGAGCAAGGAAAAAGATTAACCAATGAGCTTACAGCAAAGGCATCCCGGCCCACCCCATGAATTGCATATCATTAAGAGAAATACGGAAATAAATAAATAAATAAATAAATAAATAAATAAATAAATAGAGAAAAAAATAATAATAATAGAGAAATAAATAAATAAATGCAAAAATAAATAAATAAATAGAGAAATAAATCAATAAATACAAAAATAAATACAGAAATAGAGAAATAAATGTGTAAAGGCAGAAATAAATGTATGAATAAATACAAAAATAAATAAATATATAAATAAATAAATACAGAAATAAATGCACTTATTCTCATAATTGCATGCATTTCTTTGCAAATTTTATCTTTTTAAAATGTATTTATTTATTTCTGTATATATTTATTGTTTTGGCAATACCCGGGGGCTTTATACGGGCTGATTAACATTTCTGTGTGGCCCTTTGACCATTTCCCATCTGCAAACTTTAAATGTGTGAGTTACTATCCTAGTGCTATGATGGCAGGCTATATCTCATAAAAGTTGGAAAAACATGAATAATTATGACATCCGCCCAATAATACTTACCTTCTTTAACTTTACTCCAAGCAAGAATTTAGATCTAAAGACAATTGTAAAAGTTCAAAACAAGTTTAAAACACACTTTACGAAAACACTAGGAAAACTTTGGATTCTTTTTCTCTTCTGTAAATGTGTGTTTATTAAATACACACATTTCTGTTACATTTTTAACAGAAGCAGCTCATACTCAAATATTTAATTCTAAATTAAATTAAATGCTAATAACATAAAAACAAGTCTAGCTGGAGTTAATTTTCTTATTTGGGAATTTGTTCTGACTGCATGTGTTAGGAGGCAGAGTCGTTGCTAAGATGGTTGCCAGGGCAAGCAGGAGTTCCCCTCACAAATGAAGGCATCTGATTGGTCAAACTTTATAAGGTTCATATTTGAAATTACAGACACACAACCACATACACACACACACACACACACACACACACACACACACACACACATAGGTGTAAAAAAATATATATATACAAACTTATTTGCTTTTCTAATCTAACCTTATAAACTAGACAACCCACAACAGCACTCGCATGTCTCCCGCCATCTCTCCAGTCGTTAACATTTCTTCATTTTGACATAAATATGCAATCTTTTTATTATCAGGGCAGAATCTCTGTGTGTCTCAATGACTCTCTACTTTCAAATCTGGGTCACTCCTAACACTGGACTCTTGTAGAGATTTGAAACTGCTGCCCCCTACAGGACAGATCACAGAAGAGCGGCAAAGTCCGAGATTTTCTCTTTTTGATTCCTGGGAAAGTTGCAACATCCTCACAGATTTCCAGCTCTTCCTCTCGACCGAAAACAAGCCAAAAGAAAAGAGTAATTTCTGTGAAGTAGAAGAACAAGAGAGGTCTGTGTTCTCTCGTTTAACAATTCTCCTTTTGTGCCACAGTGACACAAAAGAATCAGGACTATCTTTCAAAAACTGGTGCTTTCTATGTTTTTAAGCAGACGACAAGTGCCATATTAATGGATTGTTCATTAGAATTTCAATAACATTGTTTGATTGGTCAGATTTTATCAAAAGGAATCGAACAGGGAAACTGGGATTGTGCCTTAACTTTACATATTTATTTTGTTTTATAGTGTTTATTTTGTGTCCTGTTTGTTGTTGTGATGTGTGTGTGAAATGTTTGTGATAAATTTTAAGCACATATACATAACAAAAATGTAAATAAATGAAATAATAATAAACATAACAAATATTAAATACATATAGGAAAATCCTTACATGAACAATATTAATAAAAATAAATAAACAATAATAATTACATGTACATTGTAAGTAACTTAGATATATGTATTTTTTTATGTCTGTCTGTCTGTCTCTTCTGTCTATCTATCTATCTATCTATAAATACATGAATAAATAAAATTAAGTAATCCCAATGATACCATTCATATCCATCATATCCAAAGTATCTCAACAAAGTGAGTCATTGTCAACAAATAAACTGCTGTTGTTCCAGTTTTGAGTCATGATGCACAGATACCAGTCGCTGCATTATATCACTGTGTGACATCACCGGACCAGAAGGACCATATTTGGTCATGGCGGCATCTCAAACCCATCTGCTGTCATTTACCTTTGTCTCTCCCTTCCTGCTTGAGGGAATAGAGACTGTTTAAAGAGACAAAAGGGTTGAATCATCAGTTTTGGAGTGACACCGGTTTCTAATCCTGCTCCTGAGTCTGGTGGTGAAAACATGTGATAAACAAAGACAATATGGGAAGTAAAAGTCAATAAAAGTCTTAAGAAATTGGTGAGTTCAGTAAAGACAACATATAATAACAAAAATAATGATAATAATAATAAAAAAAAAATCAAAGTGCCTTTCAAAACACCCAGGACACTGAACAAAACCTGGTTAAAAACAGAGTGAAATTTAAAAACAAGTAAAACAACAGAACGGGATAAAATGATGTTGGAGTGACTGGTCATGCGGGGGTCATATGTAACTTAATCTCATTGTATTGGGGAGACAGAAATATATTTTGCCTTATTATCATGCCTTCAAACTTATATAGTGCTTTTTCGGACACTCAATCACTCGATGATTTAACATTCTGTAATTGGGGAACTAAATCTGAATAATATCCTTGGAGATTAACAGGAGAAATCCCTGGTCCAGGTTTACCTTATCAGTACAAAACGAAAGTTTTAGGCGACAAAGTAGAAGAATTGTTTACTCCTTCTGCATCCAGGACCCTTCCTACACCTCCCCACAAATATTTCTCAAAATGTTTCTTGTATTTTAACTTGTTTTCATTGTATACTTATTTTTTCCGTCTCACAAATGTTGGAAATAAATCTGGCCCCTAGAAAGTCGACAACTATTGATAAACATGGTCACATTTTTAGATTAAGATGAAGAGATACTTTGTTTGTAGCCACAGTGGTCAAATTTCAATGTTATAATCACAAGTTACAGGACAGTAGTATTGAGGAGCACACAACATACCAGATACAAGAATTTATTTGCCATTTGCTGTGAAACCCCATTGGAAAAACTGTGCAAGACAACCCCAGTGTGTACCAGCACAAGATAAATGAACAATAACTCTGTACCAGGGGTCTATCTCAACAACAACGTATGTAAATGAAAACTAAGACCAAATAGATTAGAAATAATGACTTTGTCTTATTCTAGTCCTCAAAAAATAGCTCTCTGGGTGAAATAGGTTGGAGACCCTGCTCTATTCTAAAATAAGCTAACACCATTTTGGCTACTATGTTGAATCCAGGGGGTGTAAAAATACGAGAAAAAAAAAGTGTTTGATTATTGACATACAGGACACAGGTGCTGTCTGATTTGCCTACAGAGGCGATGGAGGGGGAGGAGCGGGAGAGGAGAGGGTGAAGCTCCACGGGAGGTTAGACGTGGGTGTGACTGGATTAGCAGGTCTCACCAACATTCTTGTTGTTGTGCCTCTCTTTGCTCCTCCCATTTTGCTGCCAGAGCTCATATCCACCTGCTCCTGCCTCCCTCTCTCCCCACAGACAACCTCACCTCCCTCCAGCAAAGACCAACCACTTCAACCCACTTCTTCCACCCACAATCAATCTATCATGGTCTCGACCGGCCTTCAGATGCTGGGGGCAGCCCTGGGGGTCATCGGCTGGATCGGAGCCATTGTCGTCTGCGCTCTCCCCATGTGGAAAGTCACCGCCTTCATCGGCAGCAACATCGTCACCTCGCAGACCATCTGGGAGGGCATCTGGATGAACTGTGTGGTCCAAAGCACGGGCCAAATGCAGTGCAAGGTCTACGACTCTATGCTAGCGTTGAGTGGGGATCTCCAAGCAGCCAGAGCTCTTACAATCATGGCTATCGTGGTGGGAATCCTGGGAATCTTGCTCGCCGTCGCAGGAGGCCAATGCACCAACTGTGTGGAAGACAAGGGGGCGAAAGCTAAAGTTGGGATCGCAGCCGGGGTTGTTTTTATCTGCGCTGGAGTCCTGTGTCTTATCCCGGTTTGCTGGACGGCCCACACCATCATTAGTGACTTCTACAACCCCATGTTGATCAGTGCGCAGAAGAGAGAGCTGGGAGCGGCCCTGTACATCGGCTGGGGAGCAGCGGCTCTCATGTTGATCGGAGGCGGGATGCTCTGCTGTGGTTGCCCCAAGAAAGAAGATGAGCCATACTCGGCGAGATACAATCCGGCGAGATCAGAGGCATCCGCTCCCAAGTCTTCCAAGGACTATGTTTGAACGACGCGGTAGTTTTTGAAGGGACAGAACAGTGCTAAAGTCTGGTTTGATGGATGAAAGCTGACCTCACAGCAAAAAGCAATGAAAAATAGGTCAAAAATTGCAGAAATTTGGATAAATGTGTCTTAACTTGATTTGCGAAAAGAGATACAAGAAATGTCTCTCTTGGAATGATAAAATAGAGCAATAATTGATATAAGACTAAACTGCTTTGTCCCGTCTGCAAATCTTGTTTTAACACAGTCAGAATGTCCCCAGATTAAGATAAAAACCACTTGATTCAAGCAATTATTATCTCATATTTCCTTGTTTTTTTGCGGTGCTTATGAGAAAGAAAGGTTTGGAAACTAGCAACTATGACAAAAGAACCACACCCAACGCAAGATTTAGGTCTTACAACTGTCTCACTGTTCACATATTTAAGCAAAGGGGTTTTTCTAAGGAGTTGGACTATTTGTACATAGTGTTTTGTATCTCTGCCTTATTATGTGTCATTTGGGCGTCATGTAAAATCTGCCACAAATTTTCAAAATGTGTCTGTATTTGTCTATGCTTCAAGTTTGAAGATGTTGTGATGTAAATAAATATTTTTGGTTACAATTGGTTGTTTTTCATATATTCTATAGACCTTTTTCAGCTGTTGTAGTCAATTCAACTCAACTCTGAAGTTATTACAGATTCTAGGAAGTACACTGTAAAAAATGACTAAAATTTGGCTAAATGTATATTAATTTTAGCATATTTCTACTGCCTTAAAACAAAATTTGTCAATAGGACAAAGCAAAAAGATCTTGTTTAAAAAATAAACACAAATCTCTTCTTTGGAATGTAAAAAAAAAAGCAACCAATCTAGAAACAAGACTAAATGGCTTTGTCCCATTGGGAAATCTTGCTTTAAGTCTGGCCCCAGATCATGATAAAAAACACTACAATCAAGCATTTATTACCTAATATTTTATCATTTGCTGTTGTGTATTAGTAGTTGTTTGTCTGGACAAACTCTGAATCCTGTTTTTGGGTCAGTGGCGTCAATCAAACAAAACAAAACAATAATTTCCAACGGCACCGGCGACTCCTCTATTGTCGGTGTTTCTGGGTGAGCAGGTTTAGGTGCGGCGCCAACTTAAAACCACTCAAGCTGAAAAACTGGTTTCTGTTCAAACTATGGGCCTGTAGGCAAGGTTAAAGAGAGAGGCACGAAACCACGAGCTATAGGCACAGTGAGGCATTCTGGGATCTGAGACAAAAAAGCCTTTACATGTCCCTCGGTGGAAAAGTCTGTGTTGTAGCACACATACAGAAACCAAAATCATTAAAAAAAAGATAAGATTTGATTAAGAGATCCTTCATAAGTTCCACAGTGGGGAAATTTCCGTGTTGCATCGTCGGTTACAGAACAGTAGGAATGAGGTGCACACAACACAAGATTAGCATAAAAAAGAAGCAAGTATAACATTGCTAGCTTTAGCGAAAGAAAAGTGAAACAAGTCTAAAACCTCTGGCTTTAGCATAATAAAGAAGCTAGTTTAAAATCTCTAGCTTTAGCATAATAGAGAAGCAGAACTACATTAGATACATTTCTGTGTTTGGTTTGCATGTTCTCCCTGTGTTGGTGCTGGTTTCCTCTGGGTGCTATGATTTCCCCAAAAAATCATAGCACCCAAAAACACAACATGTAATAGAGTGAATATATGTGTGTGTGTGCGCGTGTGTTCGTGTGTTTGTGTGTGTTTGTTTGACTTTGGGACTACAAATGCAAATGAGTGCAAAGCTAAAATCCGGAGAGGTGTGTTTCGCTGACGTGTTCTGTACAAGACATATTGAGACAATGTTTTCCCAGCTTTAAACTAGTACACTAACTTTTGTTCACACATTATTACGATTGCCCATTGGAATATTTTGTAAAAGTAAAATGTTGTGACCACTGTTTTTTGATAAAGATTAACAGATCCTATATTTGTCCTACAGTGGGGAAATTTTAGTGTTGCATCACCGGTTAAAGAACAGTAGGAATGAGGAGCACACAACACAGGATAAGTGAATAATAACTATACTAAAATAAAATAAAATCTATAACTGTAGCATACAAAGAAGCCGTATAAAATGTCCGTCTTCATGCTGTATCCGACTTTTTTCTACTTTTATCAACTCTAAACCCAGTCAGAAAGACATCTTATACTTTGTATAGCCCTAGATCACAACAGCAGTCGTCTTAAAGGACTTGACAAAGTTCTCGATCCGCCAACAGATTAAAGATTCAGACTGTTTGAACACAGGAAATACAATAATAACAAACACATAGAGGGCATTGGTCCAGAGGGATGACCACTATCCATGGATCCTCCTGCATCGGCAAGAAATTACTCACATAAAACCAAGTGGGAAAAAGTGAGAAATCTCAGGGATCAACGCCATGAACAGAATTTTCTTTTTTTTAGGTCCTTTGAGTTTGATTGTGTTATGATTTTAGGCTTAAAAAAATGAAAGGCATTTGATTTGTGACATTTTTACCAATACATCTGAGAATGTATTGCAACTTCAGTATTCTAAGTTGGAGTCGGGAAATGTAATTTGTTTTTCTAAGTGTTTTTCTATGGTTTCTTTGCGAACACAAACCAACACAGAAAGTTCTAATGTCATAAATTGGACTTAAGCAAAGATGGAAGATGAATTTTAATAGAACAATGGCGCAACTTAAAGGCACACCGCGGACTTTGTGACCTAAAGAGTTGACACATATGAGTTATTTTATATGAATACTTGGGCCAATATACAGCGCTTGACACTTGCAATGCTCCGAGCGGGGCTGCCCTCTTGAAATACCGCCCATGTAAGTTTCGAGCAGACGGACCGTCTGCCACCAGGTCACGTGACTTGGAAGAAAGACTTGCTTTACGGCTACAGGCGCTGATATACTCATGGAGCTAAGGCTTTTGCTACTCATTTTTCACCTGCTCGACTCCTGGTCATGGCTGAGGCAAGGAAAAATTTTAAACCTTCGGAGGAGGCTAAAAAGAGGAAACGCGAAAGGGATCGTGCTGTAAGCTGCATGTCTGTATGAGCGCTGCTCTTCACCTGGTTCCTGGATGTCATCGACTGCAAAGATGTCATTCCACGCAGCACGAGCTAGACGCAGAACTCCCTCATCCAGGATATAGAAGTCCATGTGTGGTAGATTACTAATGCAGCGGTCTGGAGGCTGACCACAGCAGAGTCTCTCAATATCTGTAGGCATGTCTCTACAGTTTGAACACACACACCAGTGCATGCTGTCTGAATACACACTCAAAAGACACCGGCTGACTGTTTGTTGACTTTTGCGACAGTGCTGAGTTGCTTGTGGCCACTAGGGGCGCTAAACGTGAAAGTTGCAGGTCTAGCGCCCCTAGTGGCCAAGAGTTACACGGTGTGCCTTTAAACCGAGCTTTTAAGATAAATAATGACTCTTCTGGCCACACTGGAAAATCCATGTTCCAGCTTCTTCCCCTCTGGCAGAAGATATCGGACATGCTAACATGCTAACAGCTTCTTCCCACAAACTGTTATCAGTTTAAACAGAGCCATAGCTTTTGTAATGAAACTGTTTTAGCTGATTGATTTCACAGTGTCAATTGTTTCCTGTACTGTTTTATATATGTACTTGTGCGGTGAACACTGTAAGTAAGTAATCTTTATTTATATATGTGTGAGTGTGTGTGCATGAGCGTTATTTTAGCAATTGGATGCATCCATCCATGACCATCATTGCTCCTTTGTGTGTCTAAAGTGTCATGTCATGTCATATCATTTTCTACCCCTTTATTAATCCATTTCTGGGTCAGGGGGGGTTTGTGGGGGGGGTTTGGCAATCAGAGCTGGATCCCTCGAGGAGCCTCCTGCTGGAGGTGGGTCCACAGGAAGATGGCTTCTCTGTCATCGACTAGATGGCCTTGGTCTTTCTTCTTAAGTGTCTTGCCCAAGGACACAACTACAGCATACATCAGTGGGAGCAGTTGACATGGGTCGTGGTGGGCTCAAACCCATGATCATTGGGTCCAAAGACCAGTGCTCTACCAACTGAGCTACTGTCGCCCTGAGTCTAAAGCGGTGGAGACTATAGGAGGTTGTTTGTGTTTGTGTGGTTTTTACTGCGAATGGCAAATAAAATGAATCCGAATTGACCGATGACCCAAGCTCTTGTTAGTATTAGATAGTAATATGGCCTACGTGCAGGACTCTACAAGGACTCTACAAGGACTCCATGTTATGACTATGATGTGACTGTCTCTTTGTGACACGTATGTCTTTCGATGTGTGACGTGACAATGACTATATAAACTGTGTACTGCCTTTATTCTGTCTGAGAGAAAGAAACAGAGTAAACCAGTGGAACTTGAGAGAAACTTAAATAAACTTCCAGAGTTTGGCACACAACGATCCGTCTCTGTCTGCTAGATCCCTGACAGATTTGGTGGAGGATGCGCGGCTCAGTGTGCGCCATTCTCTGGATTGTTTTGAGGGAGTTTGCTTTGTTTCTTTTCCTCTGCGTGAGAGACCGGCATGCTGCCTCTGGGAGCGGAGATTCCAGCAGGCTGGAAGAGCTGTTCCTGGATGCTTCTTGGCGCTTCTGTCACTTTTGTTTTTTAAATTGAATATTCCGACGCGGAAAAGAGTTGGCAGACCTCTCGGACAGTCCTTGGTACCTGTTTGACAAGAATAAGGTAAGCAGACACCTTTTTATATGTAAAGTCTGCATAATTGGATACTAGCTAAATTTTGGTCTGTTTTTGGGGTCTGTCAAACTCTCTAAATTGTATTTGAGAAGCAGTCTCAGGGTTTAAGTCCCTTAGAGCAGTCTCAGGGTTTATGTCCCTTGGAGCAGTCTCAGGGTTTAAGTCCCTTGGAGCAGTCTCAGGGTTTATGTCCCTTGGAGCAGTCTCAGGGTTTATGTCCCTTGGAGCAGTCTCAGGGTTTATGTCCCTTGGAGCAGTCTCAGGGTTTAAGTCCCTTGGAGCAGTCTC